TTCGTGATCTGGACTGTGTTTCATAGGGGTTTTTGTCTGCTTGCTGAGAAGAATTTGTTTTGTTGGATCTGAAACGGAAGGGGAAAACAATCGAGATGGGTTTCTTCAGCACTATATTAGGGTTTTGCGGATTTGGAGTTGGGATTTCCATGGGACTTGTTATTGGATACTTTCTTTTCGTCTACTTGCAGCCCAACGATGTCAAGGTTCGTGAGTGTATTTATGATTCTTCTGCTTTCGATATGCGTCTATCTAAGTACACGTTTGTTGTTTGAGTATGTGAAGAATCGTCCATAAGCTACATTAGGATTAGCAAATGGAATGAACACTTGCAGCAAATTCTCTTTAGGATTGACATGTTTAACCTGATTTAAGATTGAACACCTTACACAGTCTTCTTGGTTGTCTTGTTGTAGCGGTTTAAACTTACATTTGCCTGCCATTAGGGTACACTTGTATGTGTCTAGGTTGGTTTTCCATACGAGAAGAGGAATTGTCTAAACAAGTCATTTTTACAATCTAAAGTTGTGATGGACGTATGGTCAAATATCCTTTTAACCTTTTTTCGCTTTTAGCATCCTGAAATTCGATCGATAGCTGACCAAGATCCCAAATCTATGCTACGGATGCTTCCAGAGATACCGCCGTGGGTGAAAAATCCAGACTTCGATCGTGTATGTGATACGCCAATCTACATCCTTCTTATACTCTTGACATCAAGAGTTCTTTTCTCTCAGACTCTGATGTGTGTCCTTCTATCTTCTTATGGACCAGGTTGACTGGATAAACAGATTTATCGAGTACATGTGGCCTTATCTTGACAAGGTTGCATACCTTGACTTGCTCATGCTGATATTCTTTTGATATTTTAGTCTCTTTCTTTCATTTACTAGATTTTGACTTTTTGTTTCTCCGATTTATCCGTGTAGGCCATCTGTAAGACTGCAAAGAATATAGCAAAGCCAATCATTGAGGAGCAGATACCTAAGTACAAGATCGACTCTGTTGAATTTGAAACTCTTACACTAGGCTCCTTGCCCCCTACATTTCAAGGTGAGTTAATCCTTTCTTCTCATCTTTAATCTCTACTTGAATGTCTTGTTTGCATGTTTGAACTAAGAATTGGCTAGTGGTGACAGAAACTAACACCACATGCTAAAGATGATTATGAAATGATTCCAGGACTTACTAGTCTTACTTTTCTCTTCTCAGGGATGAAAGTTTATCTCACGGACGAGAACGAGTTAATTATGGAACCATGCTTGAAATGGGCTGCAAATCCCAATATCTTGGTTGCCGTCAAGGCATTTGGGTTGAAGGCAACAGTTCAGGTAATAAGATATCCTGCTAGTGGTAACTCAACCGAAACAATGAAAGCCTACTTAATATTTGTAATTATGATTGCCCCCTCTCCTGTACTTGCACTTACCCAAGTAAATTTTCTCAGGTTGTTGATTTGCAAGTTTTTGCTCAGCCTCGTATCACTCTCAAGCCATTGGTCCCAAGTTTTCCATGTTTTGCCAGCATATATGTGTCTCTTATGGAAAAGGTTCGTGATTCAACCCTTTTTTTATAAAGTCATGTTTTGTGTAGTAGTCAGCTTCTTTATCAGATCTTTGGAAGAGCTTTTGTGTTGTTGACCATTCCTTGCTACTATGGCAGCCTCATGTTGATTTTGGGCTGAAGCTTGGTGGAGCGGATCTTATGTCAATCCCTGGCCTCTACAGATTTGTCCAGGTTAATATATTTCTCTTACATCATTCAGATTCTGACTTGTTGAATTCAGAAATTGATTTCTGAGGGGGGGAGGGTATGATGATTGATCATCATGAGAACTGTTCACTCTAGTCTTCTAGTTTCATGAAGAGTATTTCTTTCAATCTTGTAAGGCAGAATGGTCACATGAAACTGGGACATCTTGTGTGGTCACTATACATGTGTGTATTTGGAGATCCAATCTCTTTTTTGGTGACAGTAGTTTCGTCTTTTAGCTATTTACGATTCTGCTGGATCAAATTTTCATATGCTGTTCCATTGCTGTGTTAATTGTTTCAGGAGCAAATCAAGGATCAAGTTGCAAACATGTATCTCTGGCCTAAGACCCTTGTAGTTCCAATCCTTGACCCTGCGAAGTATGCCGATCCACCCTTTTTCCTTTGAATAATTAATCCATGTCTTAAACCTTCATCGTTGCTTAACAAATCTTTAATTTATAATCTGCAGAGCGTTTAGAAGGCCTGTTGGAATCGTCCATGTGAAAGTGGTGAAGGCTGTTGGGCTGAGGAAGAAAGATCTGATGGGTGGGGCAGACCCATACGTGAAGATCAAGCTCTCTGAAGATAAGGTTCCGTCTAAGAAGACAACCGTAAAACACAAGAATTTGAATCCTGAATGGAATGAGGAGTTCAAATTCTCGGTCAGAGATCCCCAGACTCAGATTCTAGAGTTCAATGTGTATGACTGGGAACAGGTAAAGAAGCTATCCAGGGTGAACATGGAGTAGGATACATGTATGTATCTGCTAATATCTCGTCTTTCCAATGCAGGTTGGGAAGCACGATAAGATGGGTATGAATGTTTTAGCGCTGAAAGAAATGGTTCCTGACGAACATAAAAGCTTCACCTTGGAACTGCGCAAGACTCTGGAGGGCAGTGACGATGGGGGGCAGCCTGACAAGAACAGGGGGAAGCTGGAGGTTGAGCTCTTGTATAAGCCATTCACAGAGGAAGAAATGCCCAAAGGATTTGAAGAAACACAATCTGTGCAGAAAGCTCCAGAAGGCACACCGGCTACTGGAGGAGTGCTTGCGGTGATAGTGCATTCGGCTGAGGATGTTGAAGGAAAGCACCACACCAATCCTTACGTACGCATCTATTTCAAAGGAGAGGAGAGGAAAACAAAGCATGTGAAGAAGAACAGAGACCCTAGGTGGGGAGAGGAGTTCACCTTCATACTCGAGGAGCCTCCAGTCCGCGAGAAGCTGCACGTGGAAGTGCTGAGCACCTCTTCCAGGATAGGTCTCTTGCATCCAAAGGTGACACACTCGAAACTATTGCGTTTTTTACTCTCACTAACACTAACAAGTGTTTTGGTATGAATCTAAAAGTGGTTGTTGATGGGCAGGAAACACTGGGGTACGTGGATATTCCGGTGGTGGACGTGGTGAACAACAAACGCATGAATCAGAAGTTTCACCTTATTGATTCTAAGAACGGAAAGATCCAACTGGAGCTTGAGTGGCGAACTACCTCTTGATTTGTGATTCGATTGGAGACCAAAAACATAGAGAAAATTGGTTTGATGTCGTTAAAAACTCTCTGTTGTTGTACAAAATGGGCTTTAACTCTTAAAACCAACATCAGATTTGCAAAGTCCCCTTTTTATTTGGAATTTGTGTGTCCTTCTTCGACTTGTCTCCTTTGTTTTGCTATTCGGTAGTTATCTTATGGTTTCCACTTCTAGTATCAATGCAAGAGAAAATAGAAGAAACAAGAAAGAAAACATCATACTTGCAACAAAATAAGACTAATAGAGTTTTTAATTAATTGTTCTTGGGGATTCAAAGAAGAAAGCGAACCACATCCTAGATATTGTCAGTGAAGCAATTTGAGGATCCTCTGTTTCATTCCTTAGAGCATCCTTAACCGTGACATTTTAAAAGTGTCTTAAAGTGTGAAAATGATTAAAATATAATAAATGTTTATGAACTTATGGGAGATGTTCTATGTAATGAGTTTTTAGACACTTTAATGAAAGATGTCTTGATGAAATTAATATTAAAAAATGAGTTTAGACACTTTAAAGGGTTTATGATTAAAGATGCTCTTATCGGAAACTGGAATTTGAAATTAATTATACGAGTAAAACTTTGTCAAGCCAGTTTCTATTTTCTTCTCAATCTAACTTGGAGTAAAGTTAAATTGAATTTCATTATGCAAGTTCATGTAGATAAAACATGAAGTGAGGCTTATACCTATACAGAGAACTTCATTATTTCTTTTTCGTTTTAGCTTAGAAGGAGAACGTAGATAGATTAACCATTCAAAATATTATTTTGAATACAACGTAAGCAACTACATCACGACCCATTTAAGACAATATCTTACTCTTTGCCTTTGGATATTTTTTTGGCTGGTCGAGAAAATGACAAATTGGTAATGCTAGTTTTGTAATCGCAAATTGCTTTCTCAATCAACGTAATCTGAAATGATGTATTATTATTCTTTCATCAACCAATGTTTATGTACATGTAAAAAGTCCAATTACTTCATTCGTTTGAAATTTTCTTATGGTGATTTCTCTATTAATCTTAACGCTATACACAGCTTTAAACATTTTACAAATTAGTGTTTGTTTCATTTTCTATGAGAAAAAATGAATAAAATGACTAATCAAGTCATTATAGTTGCAATTTGTAGTCGGCATCATTCAAGTGTAGTGATTCTATGTTCCAAATTTGAGAAGTCTTTTAAGCAAAACTTCTAGAAGCCAAATAAGGATGATGATGGTAGTGATTGTGCCA